TATGTTGGCGGTTGTTAGTACGGAAGTGCCGCCGGGGTCCTCTTTGGTGGACACCGTGTCACGAGTGTCTCAGGTGACAACGGTGATGACTGAAGCGGTGATTCGTCATAAGTCGGAGGGCACCAGGACGGGATTGCTGTTGGAGGTGTCATCAATTTTGCCTGAGTTGACCATCAAGGTTTGGGACGGGAAGGCCACTGTTGAGGCGGATCTTGATGGTAAATCCGTGATGACTTTTCTGGTCATTGCGTGCGGGGGATCAGGAATAGTTTCCATCCTTGTCTTTTTTGTATGGTTTCTTTGGCAGATTTATTGAAAGGTTGGTTTACGGGATAGCGTAAGGGGTTAATACGGCAGGAAAGTTGTTTTTGTTGGATCAGAGATATTTTTAGATTGTGTGAGATTGCGGCGTTTAAAGGTGAGAGGAGAAGAGTGACAATGTAGTTGTTTCTGGTGATTCATTGTTCCTCTTGCTCTCTCATAGGAAGTTAGATTGCAGCATCCGGTGACGTGTTTTGGCAGCAGAGAAGGCTTGGAGGAGATCGTGACACCATGGTCATGGTGTATGTTGGCGGTTGTTAGTACGGAAGTGCCGCTGGGGTCCTCTTTGGTGGACACCGTGTCACGAGTGTCTCAGGTGACAACGGTGATGAATGAAGCGGTGATTCGTCATAAGTTGGAGGGCACCAGGACAGGATTGCTGTCGGAGGTGTCATCAATTTTGCCTGAGTTGACCATCAAGGTTTGGGACGGGAAGGCCACTGTTGAGGCGGATCTTGATGGTAAATCCGTGATGACTTTTCTGGTCATTGCGTGCGGGGGATCAGGAATAGTTTCCATCCTTGTCTTTTTTGTATGGTTTCTTTGGCAGATTTATTGAAAGGTTGGTTTACGGGATAGCGTAAGGGGTTTTTCGTATTTTTGAGAAAATTTGTTTTTCTTTTTAGAATCAAGTCATAGTGGCTGAGGTCAAAGAAGAAAGTCCACATGCGGAATCTAGTAGCTTAGAGGCGGAGATTGATAGATTTGTTAAAAATTTTTCAAACATGTCGGTTTCAAGTTTCGGGAATGGTAATTATTTTTGAGGAAAACTTTTAACTCTGAATTCCTTTTCTGAACTTTTTTCTATCTCTATTCTTCTAGTGGAATTCAATTCAACGGGCTTGGGCATGGATGGACCAGCACCTTCTTTGGCATTGTTCAACAGTCACGGCTACTATGGAGGATCTTCCAGTGGATCTTATGGATTTGAGCAATCCATTGGGGGGCAATGTGGTCACTACTGATTTGCTGCTGTAATTCAATCGTTGGTTTTTCTTTTTCTTTTTGGTTGGGAATTTTTTCGGACAGGGTCCAAGAAAGAAAAATGCGGTGCGAGTGCGTGATAATTGTTTTTGTTAAAAGTTTGGGCAAGTGTTGAATGAATTTTTGACATTGGGCTATTACTTCTTTTGTTACGGGTTTTTTCAGTTTTTTGGTATCCCTTTGCGAAGTGCGGGTATTTTGTATGTTTGTTGGAACAATCGTTTGTTGACAAAGAATGAACTTGGTTCAAAAGAAATCTTTTTGGTTTCCAATTTTCTTTTCTGGGGAGGATAATAATACCTTTTTTGGTGCGCACACATACAGGGATAAGGAATTTCTCTCATTCAATTTTGTACAAATTTTCACACAATGGACAGAACTCCAGTAGTTGGATTTATCGCCATTTCTACTTTTGGATACACATTAGATCTTTGGGGTAAAAGTTTGAGGGTGGTAGAATCAGGAATGGGCGAGTTTCTATTTTTCCAGACGTAAAGGATCTTTGCATAACATAGGTTTATTAAACAGGCTAAACCTGTGACAGTCAATATGGTCGTGATGATCATATAAATATAACCATGATTCTGAAAATGGATTTGTAAAGTTGTGAGATTGTCAGTAATTTTCTTTCTTTTGTCAAGAATGGATGGTATTTCTTCTACTGCATTGATCTCGGTATTATGAAGTTGGGGTACCATTTGTTTAAAAGGTCCATTGACTATAGTATATTGGCAATTGGGTTTAAATTGCAGTACACCAGAATAAGGCAGTTCGTAAGAATGCTCAGTTGCAAGAGTTTTATTTATGTCAGAAGCTTTACAGTATTGGGTGATTCTGCCTTTGTCTATGTCTGTAAAAGCAAATTCTTCCATATCTAGTTGTACTATGGAATTGATGGGGTTCTTGATTTTCTCAAGGATACATGTTTTTTGTATTTCTTCATCTTGAGATCCATTTTGGACAGTTAGAACACAGGGATCTGCTTCTTGGGATAAAGGATAGTTAAAACCACAGATTCTGCATTTTGGGAAAGTAGAAGGTGATATGCAGGTAGGTAGTTCTTTTGATTGAAGGCCAAAATGTTGATTTCCTTGGGAGATAAGATAAGGGAAATTGAGATGGGCCTTTCTTCAGATTGGTGTTCCTAGATAATTTTCTTGAGCAATTGGAAAAGAGTGAATTCTGGAAAGTAGATACCAATCCATGGTACTGATGATAGGTACCAATAAGGAGATTCGGATGAGACAAGTGGTATTTATTTTTAGGTCTGGTTGACATTGAATGATATGTCCCAATGTTAGAGGGTTGGTTTGTAATATCATGAAAATTTCATTCTTGTCAAAAAGAAGAGTGGATGTTTGTTTTTCAGTGCTCAGGATTCACACCCTCTTTGAGGGTGTGAGCAGTGCAACCACGAGAGGCAAGGTCAGCTGGGTTTTCTTCTCCAGGTAGATGTTTCCATTGTGATGGTTGAGAATGTTGAAGAATTTTTTGTGTTCGTGTGGTCACATGTTTTGTTGGTTTAGTCTCTGAATTTTGGATCCAATTAAGGACAACAGCTGAGTCTGTCCAGAAGTATATTGTATATGGACTGATATTGTATGCTGTTTTCAGGATAGCGTACAGACGGATGGCAAAGGCAGCGGCGGACAACTCTAAGTGGTTTATGCAAGGTGAGGTTAATTTGCATTTGGGTTCTTCTCTTTGCTTTTTGGGGACAAGTTTTGACTTGCCCCAGAGAAGTGTTGTTGTAATTGTTGCTTTGAGAGTGGTGAAATAGATTGCGACTCCTATGGCTTTGCTACTTGCATCTGCAAAGATGTGTATTGTTCCTGGTTCAAAGGGTGTAGGAGTGACTAGGCAAGGAATTGCTAGAATATGACATTGTAGTGCTTGTTGAGCAAGGTCCTTTCAGATAATGATTTCTTCTGTTGTTAGTGGAGTATCCCATGGTGTGTTGGGGTGGGCATCTGTGTAGGCTTGGCGTTGTATCTTGATGTGTGCTGTAAAAGGTGCAACTATTCCAATAATATCAAAGAGTCTGGCTTCAAAGCCTGCAATGTGCCAATATGTGAGCTTTTCAATGCTTAGGAATTTTTGTAGGGATGCTCCGGATGCTGCTATTAGGTCTGTGACAGGGTTGTATGGTATTCCAAGGACTTTGTAAGTAGTATTTTGGGGATTATTTGGTTGTGGTGAGATTTTTTGTTTTGTTAATTGGAAGGCTCCTTTTGCAAGTGCTGTTTGAGCATGATCAAGTTTGACTTGTATTTCCTCTGGTGTATTGCCAGTGACAAAGATGTTGTCAACCTAAGTGTTATTGTTAAGTTCTTCTTGTTCTGTTTGGGTTAGGATGTTTTCTTTTAGGGCTTGAATGTAAAGGTAGCAAACGGCAGCATTGAGGATAAAGGGGGCGCAGTTAATGCCCCAAGGTAGGCGTAAGAATCTGTAGTATGTAGGTTTGTAGGTTCCATCAGATTGTTTTGTGGGCCAGTGTATTGTAAGTACCCATTGGTCTTCTTCTGCAAGTTGGACCTGGACAAATGCTTTTTTGATGTCCGCAGTTCCAAAGAAGGGTGTGAAACGCCAGCGTAGGAGGATTTTTACAATTTTGGGTAGTAGGTTTGTTCCAGAGACAAAGAGTTGATTGCAGGAGTATTTGCCTTTATCAGAGGCGTTTCCTGCCATGACAACTCGGAGTGGTGTGCTAGCGCTTTTGGATTGTGTGACGCCATGGTGAGGTAGTTTGGTGTAGGGTGTTCCATGTTGTTGGAGTTCTTCAAGTGTTGTTTGTTTTATGATTCCGTCTTCTATCCATTGGTGAAAGAAGTCTGTGTATGCCTTTGCTAATGGGCCTCCTTTTTCCAGAAGGCAGATGACTGATTTTCTGCGTGTGGCTGCAGTGATTGCGTTTGGTGTGCAATATTCGGGATAGAGATGTGACTTCAGGAGAGGTGCTACAACGCAACCTTGCGGGCTGATGGTGATCTGCTGTAGATATTGAAGGTACTGTTCATCTTGGTAGGGTTCAAGTTCGTTGTCATTTCCAAGAATATTGACATAGTCTTGGTGTAAATATTTGATAATAGTGTCAGAGAGTTCATCATCAAATGTATTAGTGGGAAATTCAAGTGTAAGGTGACTGCGGTAGGAAGTAGTGAGGTTTGGTTCAGAGTCTGTCCAAATGCCCCTGGCAGTAAGTCCTAGTTGTGTTGGTATGATTTGGAATGTGGAATTATCCCAATAGGAGTCTGTATGGGGTGCGTGTATTTGTACAAGGTCTTTGCCCCCCAGAATAATATCAAATGTTACTTTGCTATTTGAAATTAAGCGAGGGTCAGCTAGGAGGCTTCGGAATTCGGAGAGATGTTTGAGGTTATGTGGGTTTTCGGCAGTCCAGGGTTCATTGATTGGGGCAACAACAGCTGTTGTAAAGATGGAGAAGTCTTTGTGATGGTGTTGTAAACATAGTTGTGTAATTGTGTTTGATGTGATTGTTGCATTTCCTATGCCTGAAATTGTGTGTGTGATGTTTCCTTGTTTTGTTGGTAGGTGCAGGCGATTGACGAGTCGTTGTGTGATCATTGTGAGTTGTGAACCGGAGTCAAGGAGTGCATATGCGGTTTCTTCATGTGGAAAGAGGCGAACAGCTGCTGTTTCAAGAAGTGAGTAGGAAGAGGATGTGGTTATAGAATATGAATGTGCTAGTCATGCTGATGCAGCTGCAGGGGCTGCTGGTTGGGGAGGTGGTTGAGCTGCAGGTGGAGCTGTGGGTGGAGCTGCGGGTGCTGCTTGGGCCAGTAGGCGTGCGTGGATTTCTTGGACAAGTTGAGCAAGATTAACTCGATTGTTCTGATTTTGAGGTTGGTTATTTTGCTGTTGATTGTAATTGTTGCGGTTGTTGTAGCGTTGATTGTTATATTGTTGTTCATTTTGTTGAGGACGGTATGGACAAGTTGAGCAAGATTAACTCAATTGTTCTGATTTTGAGGTTGGTTATTTTGCTGTTGATTGTAATTGTTGCGGTTGTTGTAGCGTTGATTGTTATATTGTTGTTCATTTTGTTGAGGACGGTTGTTGTATTGTGATCGGTTGTTGTATTGAGGGCGATTATTGTAATTTCCTCTTTGCGGTGGATTTTGTTGTAGATTGTGATAGTTATTTTGTCTGACGTAGGAGGATGGAGGGTAGTCGTTACGTTGGTTATTATTTGATTTTCGGCATAGTGCTGTGTGGTGTTTACCGGTGCAGTTGCAACATCGGTTGGAGCTTTGACATAAGGTGGAGTGATGTCTGGAGCTTAGGCAGTTATAACAGAGTTGTTTGGTATTGGTGGATGGACAAGTTGAGCAAGATTAACTCGATTGTTCTGATTTTGAGGTTGGTTATTTTGCTGTTGATTGTAATTGTTGCGGTTGTTGTAGCGTTGATTGTTATATTGTTGTTCATTTTGTTGAGGACGGTCGTTGTATTGTGATTGGTTGTTGTATTGGGGGCAATTATTGTAATTTCCTCTTTGCGGTGGATTTTGCTGTAGATTGTGATAGTTATTTTGTCTGATGTAGGAGGATGGAGGATAGTCGTTACGTTGGTTATTGTTTGATTTTCGGCATAGTGCTGTGTGGTGTTTACCGGTGCAGTATGCGACATCGGTTGGAGCTTTGACATAAGGTGGAGTGATGTCTGGAGCTTAGGCAGTTATAACAGAGTTGTTTGGTATTGGTGGCACTGATTCGGTCTTCTATGCTTAAGCGACAGTTGGTGGATGTGTGTGTAGAGTTACAAAATGGGCAATTGTATCCAGTTCTTTGATTGTTAGAAATGTTCTGGTTTCTTGAAGATGAATACGTGGATGGACGTGACCGGCGATCTGGAGTTTGAGAGCGGCTGCAAGAGGATTGACGGTGGCGTCTCCGAGAAGGTGTTCTGGATCGTCGTCTTGTGGGAGATGAACGTTGTTTGTTTCTGCGGTCGGGAGATTTGGAAGGTCTGGAGTGTCGGGATCAATCGGATTTTTTGTGACGTGCGTCGGAGTCTTTTTCTGAGGTTTTATCTTTTTTAGATGATGGGCGTGTGAGGAAGGTGAGAGTATTGATTGTAGTTGTGGTTGGATCGTTGGAACGGAGATAGGTTTTGATCCATTTGTATCTGTTCTCAGGGTAATCGGTCCATGTGTTGGTGTCTTCAGGATCTTCTTGTTGGTGGCAGCGCATTTCGAGGCGGGCATTAGTCCAGTGTCCAGCTTGGTGTAAGAAGGATTTGATGTGAGGCCAAAACCGAGTATGTACTTGTGGCATGTTTGTCCGTAGGTTGTTTAGTTGTTCATTGATAGCAATGATGTCTTCTAAGTAATCAGCTAGGGCACTAGGTGTATTTGCGGTCGGTTTGAGTTCGGCAAATTGATTGTAGAGAGCAAGGCAGAGTGATTGGATGTTGCCGTATTGTTGGAATAGGGTACGTAAGATTCTTAGGTAGTCTTCTTCAGTTGATTTGTCTTTATGGCGGTTGATAATGTCAAAGGCGCGTTCGCTAAGATGGCAGAGGAGTAGTTGGATTCGTTCAGCGGGTGTAATATAATCGCGTGGTAAGATGTGTACGTTTTTGAAATGTGACCGTAGACGTTCAAAGGTGTAGGTACTTTCTGGCAGTCCTGAGAATTGTTTAAAGTTTGGAAGGGCTGATCGTTTTTCGTAGTTTGTGACATATTTGTCGGATGTCTGTGAGGGGCGAGGTCCAGTAGCATAAATGAGGACTGCGGATGGATAGGGGTCAGCATCTTCTTCCGTTTCAAGTGTATTAGTTATGTTGGCTGGAAAAATATTGAGGTTTTGTTGGTTATTTGTTGGTTGGGCTTGTTGCTGAGGTTGTTGGATCAGATTTTGTAAAGTTTGTGGTTTGACAGAGGGGATAGTGTTTTCTTCAGGGTTTGTTTGTAATATGGGAAATGTAACTCCTAGGATAAAATTTTGCATTGGCCGCAGTCTTAACCAGTCAGAATGTAGTTGGTCCGGAGAATGAAGAGCAATGTTGTTGAGTTCTTGTTGTAATTGTTGGATCTGCTGTGCTTCTTTGACGTCGTAAGAGGTTGTAGGTATGTTAAGGATATATGCTGATGCAGATATGAGTGCACGGTGAATGCGACGGAAAGTAGATTGGGTTGTTGGTGTTAATGATTGGGTATGTGTTTGATCTCCCAGGACCATAGCTTGGGCAATGGCAAGAAGTCGTTTTGTCGTTCTGCAGAGGCTGAGATATGGTTGTCGTTCGGCAGAAGTTGATGACGTTTCTTTGCTGCGGATTGAGGGTGAGCCTGGAGGTGTTGAAGGTGGTAATCTGAGTGGTGGACGACCGAGGCGGCGTGTATTTCCCCAACGTGATGTGGACGTTGAAGGTAAGTTTAACGGGTCTGTGGTAGAAATTTCTCCAATGGGTGGTGTATGATGAGGTATTCCAGATGTTTGAGTTAGCGAGTTTCCTGTAAGGAGTCGATGACGTGGCATGGTGCATTTTTGGTTGTCAGGAGTTCAAGGAATGTTTGTGAGGCGTAATTCACGTAATTTGTTCGAGCGAGACACTAACAGTTGCGGTTAGCACTGAGGAACTTGTTGGTAAAGCACTTGTGCACTTTGAAATTGAAAGAGTAGGGTTTTACACTTTGCCAGAAGTTTTTGCACACACTCACTGGCCACCAATTTTGTCAGAGACTCCAAAGAGCCAAAGACAAAGAAATAAAAGTTTCAGAAAATAAAGGAAGGCACAATAGGCCGTTTGCGGCCAAGACTAGGTCTCCTTGAACGGTGTAATTCAGTAACACAAATTGACAACAGTTTTCACTTTCAGGAATCAGGAAGACACACTTTTTCAAGAGCACTTTCAGGAACCAATTGCTACAAGAATCTCAAGATGAGTGACGATCTTCGGTGCTGAGGAGTTCCGGGACCAGTACTGGAAAACTGGTTTCCAAGGTTGAGTTGAGGTGAGTTCTTGTGGTCAGAAGCAGGGTTGTGAAATATTAATGGTTTATGTGTTTGTGGCATTTTCAGGTGTAGCAGTGATTGGAGCGTAAAGGGCGACACCTTATGGTCCCTGACAGAACTTGATCATTGGGAATACAGAATAAAAATATAATATATTTATATCCTGACTTGACCTTTGTTGAAGGACACAGCTTTTGTGCTTTGACCTTCCAACCCTGAACTGTCCCTGAATTAAGTATCCCTTCTGGTTATATCAATATTATATCTCTTGAGATTTTGGACTGCCCAAAATCAGGCAATAAATTAGGCAATGAGCATTGTTGAGACATCCTGTGTAGGAAATCTCTGAGGTCTTGGTCTCGTGGACTTGTGGTTGTGTAAATAAGACTATTTCTGCTAGAATAAGTCTTGTGTTTATTCCCGGTTCTCTCCACAATAAAGGAGATTCACAAATCTTGTGAGGAGTTAAGTAGTTCATACTTGGCAAATGAGGAGAACATGACATACTTAGCATGTGAATCAATTTCCAGGATGAAATTATTGCGTTTAAACATGATTAAATCAATTGCCTCAATAAATTTGTTATCCATATTAAACACACGTAAAGTTTCCTCATTGACAAATTATGCACTCAAAATTCAGTGAAAAATGTGTTTGGCATTTGATAACAAATTGGGGATTCATACCATGCCTTTTCTATGCAGTGAGACCCCAAGATGCAGACATAATTTGTGCATCAAGAGTGTCGGTTAAGTCAAAATGTCTCAAAGTTGAGTCTCATTTTCCATCAGACTTACATCATATAATTTTAAATGCCATTTTATGGAGAAAAGATTCATCATCATTTCATGAAAATTAAAAATTAAATGGTCTCCAAATTGAAACTGATCCAATCAATATCTTTCAACAAAATATGGACATTTTGGAGCATTGAATACTTTAATGGGACAAAAGTTGTACAAAAGTATTTGCAACATTTTGTTTCTCAACGCTCTAGTTACAAAAAAAATCCCTAAGAAATTTGTAGAAAAAAAAATCTCTGACTGATGGTTATTAATGGTGTTTGCTTTATCCTTTCCTATATTGGCAAAGGCCGTCTTTCACTGCTTCGCCCTCAGTGGAAAGATTTCGCCATAGAAGGCCTTTGTAAAGGTCCCATCATTTACTGATGTTGTGCATGCAGCTGGAATTGAAAGTGGTTGACGTCGAATAAACATCTGACCCTGTACCGAGAAATGCATCATGGACCTCCGAATATGAAGGGAGAAAAATACAGAGGTAGGGCACGGGTTTTGCATTCGCAAGATGGCCCTTCTATATATATTCACGTGAAACATATTCTCTTTTCCAGCACGAATGCTTCCAATTTTTTCCCCCACGACTTTATAAGAGATTCATTCTTTTCGGTATGCACGTCAGGAAGTTGATTTCAACCCGTCTTCAAGATGTGCAGGAGAATTTTTTTAAGCTAACCAATTTGCGTTGACAGTTGGTAAAGCTAGGTGGTGTGGACTATATATACAATATTTTCTGCCGATTCAAAAAAAATGACATTAGATCCGAAAGAGCTGAAGTTGAGGTACATATGATGTACTTCAAGGAAATATTTGAGGTCGAGTACCTTGAAGAACGAACTCATGTTGAGAAGCATCTGCAAACACCCTGTATGAAAAAATTGAATAAATCTTGAAAAATTGGACAAGCTTGAATAAATCTGCGGGAATCCGCAAATTTTAATTTGACGACCTGGCAAACATGTATTGTATAGAATTGGGCGTCATGTGCACCTTATTTTTCAAATGATTGAGAAGAAACTTTTTGTGAGCGCCAAACAAACCTGATGTGGAATTATTTTACGCATTGATTATTTTGATACCCAGCAATGATAACTTTTTATGAGCATTTTTTCCATCACTGTATTTCCAATAAGAATAATTCATAGCAGATAAAAATCTATGAATAGAGTAAAGTTTAAATAAGCCGAAATCCACACGAGTGAGAAACTGTTAAATTAAATTTGAAATTAAATTTGCAATTGATACATCGGACAAGTGCATCGTGGAGATTTGGAATTGAAAATTAGCTATATTTCAAATGCTATTCAAACTATTTTTTGGAAACCTTCTGTGAAACCGAAGTTTTCCGAATAAATTCACAATCTCATGCATGAAATTAAAACTTCACTGATTAGGATTTATCATTCGTGCAGGACCGGGAATACATCTGCTTCTTTACGCTAAATCAAAATAATATTGGGAAAGTGATTTAAATGGTTGTTGCACAATATTCTTTTGGATCTTGACAAGTTTGTGTATATTTTTTCATTTTATTGTCCACGAGAAAGTCAAAAATGAATGGACTCTAAATAAAACTGGAACCAAAACCCGTTTCTTTCCGGAGCTCAGAAGAACCCCTAATTGAATAACATGTATTTTTAGATTTTTTCCATCTTTTTTATTTTTATAAATGAATCGAACATTGAATAAGACGACGACGGACGAGCTGAACAAACAAAGCAGCTCGTGTCTCATAAGGATCACAGCACAGGGTGTGACTCGAAGGAAGATAAAGCTAGGGGTTCTAGACCTATAGACAAACTCATGGCTGCTCCCCGGAGAAGCCAGCCTGGAAACTTTCCAGAAAGCAAACGAACTGGGAGTTACCATCAAAGGCGGAATTCCGGGAAACCCTTATCCCTCGGGTTCCAGCCCGCGCACAGCACGGAATCTGAAAAAAAGAGTCATTGGATTATCATCGATTTCCTCAAGTGTTCCTATATAGCAGCAAGTAATGTGCTTCGATTTCTTTTGAGAATAGAACGCCTTTTCTTTCAGAAGTACCTGGTGTTCCTCATGATCCATGCATGATGAAAGACGGATTTCAAATTCAGAGCAAAAATTCAGAATCTCGTAATTTATACAGCTGGCATTTTTCTTCAGAGAAAAAACTAAGAAATGATCCACTCTTGGTAAACTCTTTTGGGGAGTATATGGCGCGTGGTGGTGAAGATATTATACTATATTAATAATCGTCCCAGCATCCTGCAGAAACCAGTACTGTACTTGGCCTGACAGGCCTCAGCACCAAAGAACAAGTCCCAAAGAACCTTTATCAACAATGAACAGCAATGTCTTCATTTCCAATTAAAGAAATCAGCCAATCAGAAGCACAGAGAATTCAACTCATAGAGAACCACTTTCTTCCTCTTCCTTCCTCCTCCCAAAAAATGAAACTCAGGATTCATTCCACTGCCACTTCTCAAACTGATCAGAGCTTAAAACCTGGCATCCATTATTCCTGAATGACTTTGCGAGATTGTCTCATGTGTTTGATTATTATTGTGTGTGTCAAGATTTGGGAAGATTTTTTTGGAGCCTCTATACAAGGGGATACATATGTATGCATGCATAGACTTGTTTCAGCATGGACTTGAAATGATGTGAACACCAGGGATTTTTTAACCCTTCTGCGGAAAAGTTGGACTTTTTTTGCAGATTTTGGTGGCACTTGAGAGTGAAATTGAAAAAACCCCAACAGTGTGTGCAGGGCAAAGTCCGGAAATATCCTGGAATTTTTTTAATTTTCCACAGAAAACTTTCACCTGAAAATGAAAAAAATGAAAACTTCAGGGCTCCCTGTTTCTCCCTTGGCCTTGTGTTGTTTCCCCATTCAGAGATTCAATTTAAGCTTGAAAGCCAGGAGCCCAGGGTGGAGGTCAATATGGAAAAAGTCCAACTCAGGACTTTCCCAGCATTTCATTATCCCCAAAAAAAATCCAACTTTACCCTCCCCCACCTGGTAGGGGTTGCATAACCTTGTGCAAAATATAATGCACACCCATCAGGAAAAAGTCCAACTTTGCCTTGGGATTGAAAGGAGGCTGCCGCCTTCCAAGGGTTAAAACATGTTATTTTCATGTTCACTAGTTCTGAGAGGTTAGACAGACACCTTCTCAATGTCATCACTTCCAATTTGTACACACTTCTCAGCCCTTTTGATCCATGTGTTGAAGCATGCCTTGAATTGTTCAGTTGAGCTCCCCAGAACAGCAGCAACAAGCTGATGCACACAGAACCATGTAAACCCTTGTGTAAAGAGACTCCCAGCCCATCTCAGGCTGAATGTTGTGTTTGGTTCATTATTTTCATCCTTTTTTCTTTGTTGAGACACTCAGTCTCTGACAAACTCTGCAAGAATGGTTGAACTAGACTGAAAAAAGCTGCCCAGATCAAAATTTGTCAAGGAACTTGGCAATGATATGTGATGCATTTATAGGTAGTCTTCACAATGAGTGCTGATTTGGAATTATCGAGGAAAACCTATGAAAATATGTCAATTGCCGGACCTGTGGTCGCAATTATTTTACTGCATATGTAGGTTGCAAAACATGTGTATTATTGGAATATCGTAGGTTCTCGCGACTGAGATATCTTCAGCAGAAATATTCAAAAGGCCAGAAAATGTGTTTATACGTAAAGAATAAGCAGCACCCATCAAATGTTTTAAAATCAAGAGCAAGACACACTTTTTGCCAAAACTTGACGAAACTCCGCGAGACAGCGATTAAAATTCTTCGTCAACGGAAGGCATGTTGCTAATTTATTTCACCAAGATGTATTCAATATAAAAGACTATTTTTACCGTTTATATTAGTTTTGTAGAAGCAAATTGAACCGTCAAGTCCGTGGTATTGAAATATGTCTTTCCTTTCTTTGGATGATTGCATAACCACTGAGAGGAATGAAAATGACATACTGTACCGGAAAGACGTGGCTCAATCGATGGATGTTATCTCCTTCATCATCCCAGATTACCCAGGAGGGATCGAAACCAGCGTGATCAAGAGCCGACTTTCACAGAGGCAACCCAATGAGTATCGATTGAAACCCAGTAACAGAGACTTAGCATGAATGGGTCACTTTTGGTATGAGGACGACAATAAGGACATAAAGTGGGAACCCAAGTGCTTCAATACTCTCTTTGTGCTATATTTTTTGTTAGAACACATATCTTTCTTCGGGAATGAATGGCGTATAATTCAAATTATTCATAGAGATGCACAGTTACAGTATATTCAAATGACAAAGAAACAGGATAAATATTTTTCTAAATAATTTTGAATTAGAATGCCGAGTTCATTTGGC